ATTACACGTTAGCTGGAGGTGGAAAACACCTCAGCTATTGTGCCGCAATACAAAAGGCAAGAAAAGAAAAAACAAACAAACAGTGGCACGCCCGCTGAGTCCCCAGTAACGGATGGACATCGTTCCGGAGAGCTAACAGCTGGCTGCCGTAAAAGAAAGTCATATTATGCCTAACGATTGAGATCGTGATTGGAGGGGGATGCTAAACAGGAGGGGGATGGACAAAGGAACTCACAACACAAACGCCATTGGGGCCGGCTCCTAGCCATATCAGCAAGTGTGTCCAGCCAAACGTGTTCACCGTCCTTAGGACCCCAGCCAGGCAGTCGGGATGCACCAACCGACGCCAACTTCGAAGTGAGGGTTTTCATTTCTCGCGACCAAGTCATCACTTGGCCTCCCCTCCTCCTCTTCCAACCGCACCCACAACGCGCAAACAATGCACGTCGTGGGAGTCGGTGTGCTGGCATGCGCAAGACGTGGCCCAGCCATCGGAGCCTGGTGCGTGATATAATCGTGCTGAGCGGTTCACTCGCTCTTCCTGCACCAAATACGCGACGTCGAACACGCTCATTGCTCACGCGGTGTTCCCACCAGACATGAGCTAAGCTGCGAAGGCAGCGATGATCGAACGTGACGAGTCTCTTCATGTCTGTCGACCTGATGGGCCAGGTTTCACAGCCATATAGGAGAGTTGAACGGACGGCTGCGTTGTAAACTCTGCCCTTGAGGGCGAGAGTAATGTCGCGTCTGCGCCACAGGTGGCGGAGATTGGCAAAAGCACCTCGAGCTTTTGCTATACGGTTCGTAACCTCATCTTCAATCCCACGGGTGCTAATATAGCTGCCCAGGTACTTGAATTCCTGAACGACTTCTAGCAGATCACCACCAAACGTTAGCGCAGGATTGGGTCCCTGCCAATCTTGGAGAAGTACTTTGCATTTTGATGGAGCAAAGCATAGCCCAAAACGACTGACAGCCAGTGCTAATCGGTTCAGTGCTGTTTGGCATGTTTGGGAGCCGTCACAGATTAGGGCAATATCGTCTGCATACTCCAAGTCAAGAAGTCGCTCACCAGGGAGTAGCTCCACACCTTCTCGTACCAAGGCATGATCAGAGTTGACACAGGTGCTCCCGTACGAGCGGCAATCCAGGATGGAACCGCGCCACCTATAACCTATGGCTATATGGCCCATTTGGGTCTATCGCTGGCCAGCTACAGGGGGACGTCAAGTGGCACTTCGGCGCCCATTGTGTCGAAAAGCAGTGTTACTAAGAAACAACTGGTGCTCCGCACACAGTTGCAGCAGACACACACCGTTGTCAGTCCGTTCGGATTTAAGCACATAATTAACACCCATCTGAGATGCTGAAGAGTTCAGACGCCCTAGTTGTGCGTTCATATCCCCAGCAAGTATAATAATATCTGAACTAGTAGCACTGCGTACTAGCGCGTTCAGTTGGTGATAGAATGTGTTCTTGACAGCATTTGAACTGCAGTCCGTGGGAGCATAAGCGGAAATCACAAGCAAACAACGTATTGTACTACTCCATGAATCAACCTCAACTGATGTCGTCAAACGGGCTACACATAAACGGCTGTTCACCGGAATCCAATCAACCAACGATGGCTTAGTCTTGGAGCTTAGAATGATACCTACACCAGCTTGACCCGTGACTGCTGCATCGGCGTCTCCAGATGCGTGCAACCAATAACGAGAGGATAAGCCGGGTGCAGTTAATTCACCAACCCCATTAGGGTCATTGATCCTAGTTTTGGACACACAACATACATCAATACCCAGTGTGTCCAAGATGCGTGCGAGTGCAGGCTGTCCACCAGTTTGTCTTAGAGTGCGAACGTTGAACTTCGCCATGGTAACGGGACAGCGTGGCCTTATAAGGGACTGTTGCCGATAGGCGTCCGGTGCGTATCGCGAGAAGGCGGCTGCAGATGGCTCTACTTCAGTGGCACTTCGGTTGCTGTCAGTTAAGCTGGGAATTATAGAAGGAAGATTAATAATGGGAGTAGGGATGGGAGTAAGAGAAATAGGTGGAAAAGAAAGAAGGGAGGCGCCAGCAGTAGCATATTTTCGCTTATCCGCCCTGCTGTATGGAGCGGATTAGGCGACCCTTGATGATCTGCGCGACAGCCGATGCAGAATGAAGTTTATGTTTGAAGTAAAGGTCATGGTTGTATGTGGGCTGAGATACTGCCAGGGCACCCAGACCTAGACAAGCGGACGATTAGGGTCCTCATTTAAAGCATTTGGCTCAAAAGCCTGTCCGCAAGGCAGCGGGGAGGTGGCAATGATTTTAGTTTTACAGAAATGGACGCCATCCCATTTCAAACTCCCAACCTGGAGAACCAGGAGACTGAGATTGTCTGACCTCTCACCACTGACCACCTTGGTAGGTGTATCTCTCTAGAGGCCTGGAGGCATCACCCAGTAAAGCTCAATGGGTCAAGGAGGTAAGCAAACCGTCGCACCACGTTAAGGTCCAGTCTCGTTGCGAAGGTGGCCACAGTGACAGGCAAATCCGAAACCGGAGGCCGCCAACCAATTTGTATATATATATATATATATATATATATATATATATATATATATATATATATAAAGAATCTAGTGTGCCGCGTCGTTATTTCATCTCCACTAAGGATAACTTGGCATACGGAATGGAATCGCTGACTGCAGTTAAAATATATTATTCCAATTCTAATTGCCATGGAGCAGGACTTTGAATAAATTTTTACATGGGGCCTCAAGGAGCGTCCGTACCTGGTTTTTCGCGTGGCAGTGTTGCGAACCATGCCGAGACCAAGCGTCGGCCACATGGGTAAATACCGCTCGCTGTTTGGTTACCAGCCATTAGCGTACGGTGCGTAGCTGAATAGGCACACTATGTCAGTTTGCAATATCTTACAGGATTTACTTGGCTTTGTTGCTTGCTAAACCACACACTTGCGTGTAGCTAAATCTTATGTCTAAGTTTCCTGAAGTTGCTTAGTACGCTCTTAACCACAGTGATGGTAGCTATGTGCCTCTGCGTGTACTCCTAATACAACTGAAATTGTAGACTCAGACCGTTTACTTCACATTAGATCTTTGTAGAAAGTCTACCTTTGGGACACTCCTGTCCAAGTCTCCTAGTTATGACATAGTAAGTGATCCTGGTGCGTTAGAAATCACCCCTGATGTAATGCGTCCTTCCCTCCAGTGTACATAAATGAGGTGAAATCCCTTTTCATACGACAACATGCACTTTGAAGAACAGAGTGTCAGACGTATTCGTAAGCCCATCAGGATTATTCTACTTTCTTATTTAGCAACGGGATTCATCGACTTCAACGGATTTTTAATTTGCTATGGCAAAAGTTTGCAGGAAGAGCAAGATGAGCGGGATCTAAGAGACGCTTTCCGAGTGTTGGATAAGAATAAAAGAGGAGAAATAGATGTGGAAGATTTGAGGTGAGTGCTATCATTGTTTCGGATTAGAAACGTTGTTGTTCCTATATATTTCTCTACAGAAATTAACTAAACCTTGTCGCTAATCTTGGTTACATGTTGTGTGCACAGGTTTCAACCTGAGCAAGGAAGTTATTAGGAGGTGTGTGCCGTTGCATTGGCACAACTAAAGTACAAATTTGGGTCAGTGAGTGGATCACAATCATCTGTTTTCGTCATGTCAACGTCTTAGTTGTTCAAACGTTAGATCTTCACTAATTCGCGGTATATTTAACAGCCCGTGGATGTTTCCGGTCCGTCGCGTATGGCTAACCTCATTGCTTGACCTTGAATACCATTAGTCTAAATTCTTAGACACGGTAACTAATCGTGGCGGAATGCATTTGGGGTGGTGTACTTATTTACTTCTCAACTGTGGGCGAGTCTTATGGGCTCTGTTTGGTTATTATGCAACCGACCTCCTCGCACACAGTTAGTCCTTTTTCTAGCACGCAAGCCGGTTGCATATTGAGATCGAAATACCTATGGTTAACTCCTAAACGAAATTTACGCACAGCAGCAGGACATCGAAGCAAGATAATGTTGGAGGATGATTTGAGCAAGTAGAACACTAGCGTGGAATATGATTTTACGGTACTTGATGAATGCAACACCCTCTTTTGTGACGTCGCAGTAGTTCGCCCATCCAGGTTTATTAAGGTTTTACTAGATGCCACGCTATCTGCATAATCTATGGATTTTTCCAATGCGACATATCTCATCCACCCGAAGCTTACAATTTAGCTTAAAGAACCTAAAATGTATATAGGACGCTATGGCATCTGTGAGTCAATACATACCTCGTTATCCATATATCACTCCCTTTTGTTTTGCCTATAAGGAGGAAAGCAGGACGATCTGAGTGCCCTCGTTTTCACCGATAGACTGTGCTACTTAAAGGCATTTGACCTGGCCCCATTTGTTTAGAAAGTGCTTAGCTTATGTTGTTTACATAAGGTGCACTCCTGATGTCGGCCATTATAGCGCGTAAATCTGCCCCCGTCTCTGTTTTAGGTGGATCCTCAAGGAGTTAGGTGATGACCTGACTGAAGAGGAGATTGATGATATGATTCGTGATACCGATACAGATGGTTCCGGGTTTGTAGACTTTGATGGTGAGTTGGCATACTCTTTCTGGAATTTGATGTGATCAGCGATTCCAGTTTGTTTTAGCTCGGTCCTACACAGACTTCCATAGTAAGATAGCACATAGGTTGTTCTGCATTAACTGCGCATTAACATTTATCCACAAGCATTCTGCTGTTTCTGATCTATTTAAAGAAATACCAACGGTAAAAGAAACAGAACGTGTTCATTTCGGTTCCCTTCAAAGACGATATCGTCTATGAGTTACTGAACAAACGATTGTCCGTCGCTGTGCACCAAACATATCCGGCTGCAAGAGTCCACCTTCTTGCCAAGATTGCTCTGTTTATCATTAAAAGCCTCAAAAACAGACTCCCGGCTCGTTCCGAACCTTTCGTTGTATATCAGTTCACCTGCGCTTGTGCTGCCACGTACCTCGGACACAGGAGCAGGCGTCTGTTTAAGGGGATAGTGGAATACTATCCCGCCTCTTTACGGCACGGTAAAGGTAAGAATGCCCGTTGTTCCGTCCTTGAACACCTGATTAGTGCGGGTCATCATGTTTGGACCGATGACGCTTTCAAAATTGCGTACGCCGTACCTTAATGCAACCCAAAAGGACTGAGAAAGCGCCTGTTGGGTACTTCGGAAGCAATGGCTATCACGCTGTTGCAACCGATTATACAAGCAGAAGACGCTTGTACAAGCCGGAACGATTGACGCCATCCGTACCTACCTTTGCCTAGGAATAACTGTGAGCTGTGACGCCAAAGCAACCATTTCTTTCTTGTTATGTTTGCCTTTCAGTGTTTGGGGTGTGAAAGCGCGTGAGTTTTACCATCTGATTGCATTGACTGCTCTATCGATTGGATCGTTGACCTTCCGTTTAACTGTAACTTAACCGTTGAATAATAAGTGTTAGTTGCTTTGATGCCTTATGTCTGCTAAAAGAAGATTGTGTCTAACATAATCACATATCTGAAATAACATTTTGCAGTAATCTTGGCGTTTTGCGAATACCAAGGTTATATATATATATATATATATATATATATATATATATATATATATATATATATATATAAGCAGGCGCCTGGAGCTAGTAATCGGGGTGGAGGTCGTTTGATGAGTATACGCCTTGTCAACATCGGCATCAAGCGCAGCCAGAGGTTGCACATCACACGTGACGTATCATGTGCCAATCTCACGTCCGACAGACAGTTGAGATTAGCTTGAGACGACAGCGCACATCATATGCTTCAACCGTTTCGATGTTTGCAAGTGCACAATGGCGGCTAGAATTCAGCACAATTACGTACACTCACATGCATTTATAAACACTTGTGTATAAATTAACATAACTTGAATCGAGAAACATTAACCGTCATGGACAATATTACTACAAAAGTATATGAGTTTGGATTACAGTTAAGGTTAACAGCAATACTCGCCAATTTATGGGAAATCGCATGTGGGAGAATAAGTAACCAATACGAACTGTCCAAGGTCACCTAAGTTTTAGCTGTGAACCTAAATGGCAACCTTAAATTTAGTCGGGAGTATGGTCATCAACAATAGATAGAGACAGATAAAGGAATAGGGAAGGAAATGCCATCGATGTAGCTGCCAAGTGGATAGACATACGAACAGGTGGCACGCTAGAACCGTGTTGATTTCCAATTAGTGTGTATTGCACTTACCGTCCCCCATATGTGAAGCCGGGCTCGTAACAGATGCAGGTCGCACAGCGTGAGCATGTGACATTGTACTAACTAGAGTATCTTTGTGTTACCGTGGATTAAGACTGGACAACTCCAATCGTCTGCTGTCCAAGTTATTTGCGGATTCCCGAAGAACCGCTTTTGTTCCACCTTAAACACATTCGCTGATGACCCTGTGGCAAGACCACAGTAATAATGCACCAAGTAAGTCCATCTGTCCAACGTCAAACATTCAGCCTTTGAAAAAGTATTCGGACTGTTTGCCAAAGTTCCACGATGTAGCATGGATGTCATCCAAGTACTCTTACTCACTGTTGGTAAATGTAACTGTGTATTCTGCTGTGGCGATTATCTAATTGATAACGATTTATCATCAGACGGTTCGTATGCAGCCAATCGGCGCTCCAAAACAATTGTCGCTGTGCAATGATTCCTTTCCGATGAAATATACCATGGCACTTAGGTACCATCACAGTTGAACTTACCTTCTGCTAATTCTACACAAAAGATTGGTCATTTCTACCACTAATTCTAGCAGACGCCACAGCGTCTCGGCTTCTAACATCCGTAGTATAGGCATTTTCATAAACAGCTATGCTCCATCCGTCGGACAAACAACAGGAAAGACATGAATGCTCATAATCATCAACGTCCTGACCGTCGCTATTCACTTCACACTCGAGATTGTTCACTTTCCACGGACGTTCCAATGCAATTTTCATGGGACACAAGGTGACGGGAAATTGTCGAGCCCTGTGCTCCAAAGCGAGGAAGAATTGTTCGCAGTACTGTATGTCGCTTAGCGCTCTGAACCTCTGATTCACGCTTATCTACCGGACTCAAAACGACTAAACTGAAACTGGAAGAATACTCAATAATTTCTAATTCTAGCACAGATCCATTTCAACAGTTCAATTTGCTCGAACAGCAGCCAAATGGCTTTAACTGATACGCATGCACACATGCCTATTGAGGAAAAGTCATGGATAGACTTAACCTTTATCATGCGATACACCGTCTCTCTAATAGTTATGCTACTATTGGGCAGCAGGTCGATATGTAGCCATGCAAGCTACAAAACATTTTCAAAGCCGGAATCTACTTAGAAAGAGATTGAGGCAGCCTCGTATAGTCTGGTGAGTTATAATACCGAGCTTATATGGTGATGTAATTTATTTGAGTTCGTCGCAATCAGCCGGCAATTCAGATAACTCAACAACCAATTCAGATTAGTAGTTGAGTTATTTGAATTGTCGACTGATTGAGACGAACTCAAAGTATTCACCTAAATCATTCTACTCATAATAGATGGTTCAGTAAGTCACGGACGAATAAAAAGAAGATACCCTAGCTTACCGTCTTGGCACGTCACTGAACTCGAATCAACTTGACAATAGTTCAATAGTTCAATAATGTATGATGGTGGTAAAAAGCATAAATTTACAAGACCCACGGAATGGATATGTAAAAGACAATTTAAAGCAAAATGTTCCAGCGTAGAACGTGAAGTATCAGTTGTTAAACCATTGCACTTTATCAAACTGTTCTGTAGCGTTTATCACCAAGATGAAAGTCTGAGAGTCTTTCCAACGTCGTCATGTCTGGTGCGTTAACCACATATCTTGGTAATGCATTCCAGTGAGGACAGATTCTAAGTGAGTAAAAATACTTTCTACAATTCAAACGAGAGTGTTGTGTCATTAGTTTCAGGTGGTTGCCTCGGTTTTGTTTGTATGGGGCTAGAGTCAACAGTGATGTACAGGGATGCTCGCTTTCAGTTAGTGTCCGGTTTGTGAGAGCAAGATCTCCACAAAGCCGTCAGTATTGTAGTGGGAACACACCGAGTACACGAAGACGCACTTGGTAACCTAGACATGATAGTCCCCGTTTTACCTTTGTGGCTCTTCTTTGGGGTTGTTCCAAGAGACGGATGTCTCGGTTTAACCATGGACACCAGGTCTGAATTGCATATTCAACGTGAGGGCGAATGTAGGAGTTAATCAGCAATGGTACTAACCGTCGCTAAAAGGTGCCGAGAGCTCGTCTCAAAAGTCTCAAGTTCAATTTCGCCACACTTGCTGCTTTCGAACATTGGAGGGAATTGCCAAGACTCTCTTGCACGATTATACCTAAGTCGCGTTCACTAGTTACGTGTTACAGGACGTGTTGCTTCAAACGGTATGTGTTGACGAAGCTACTGCGCACCGTCAGCAGGTGGTACTTTGCAGGGTTCAGTGATAGGCTGGTTCCTTTCTGCCCATTAGCTAATCCGAGTCAGATCTTCTTGGAGGTAGACACGATCGGAGGCTGAGCGAATTGCTCCATATTTTAGCATCGTCTGCAAATATTTGCATTGGAGATAGGATGTCTGCTGGAAGGTCATTAATGTAGACTAAAAACAGTGGCGGGCCGAGGACGGATCTTTGCGGTGCACCACTGGAGACGCAAAGGCTTGCTGAGTGAGTGTCGGCAACTCTTACCTTGATTGCTCTGTCGTGTAAGTAGTCTTCTAACCAGGTGAGCAGGGAACCATTGATACCATAGACAGCAAGCTTTTGGAGGAAAAAGAAGTGATTGACTCTGTCGAATGCTTTAGAAAAGTCCAAGTAAATCACATCTATGGGGACTCTTTCCTCAGCCGCCCTGGTCCATGAGTTCCAAGTAATCAGCAAATTGGTAAGACAAGATCTTCTGCGTCTGAAACCATGTTGGGTATTAGCAATTATTTGTTTACGTTCAAGGTATCACGTCAGTTCATCTGCGATTACCGATGCCATCACTTTTGATAAAACAGGAAGGAATGTAATAGGTCGGTAATTGGCAGGATCCGATCGCTCAC